AAATAATTGCATTTCTGTTTACTGTGGAGAGCAGATATAGTGAATGCAGGGTCCGGGGAGAGCGGATACAGTGAATGCAGAGTCTGGGGAGAGCGGATATAGTGAATGCGGGGTCCGGGGAGAGCGGATATAGTGAATGCAGGGTCCGGGGAGACCGGATATACTGAATGCAGGGTCCGGGGAGACCGGATATATTGAATGCGGGGTCCGGGGAGAGCGGATATAGTGAACGCGGGGTCCGGGGAGAGCGGATATAGTGAACGCGGGGTCCGGGGAGAGAGGATATAGTGAATGTGGGGTCCGGGGAGAGAGGATATAGTGAATGCGGGGTCTGGGGAGAGCGGATATAGTGAATGCGGGGTCCGAGGAGAGAGGATATAGTGAATGCGGGGTCCGGGGAGAGCGGATATAGTGAATGCGGGGTCCGGGGAGAGCGGATATAGTGAATGCGGGGTCCGGGGAGAGCGGATATAGTGAATGCGGGGTCCGGGGAGAGCGGATATAGTGAATGCAGGGTCCGGGGAGAGAGGATATAGTGAATACAAGGTCCGGGGAGAGCGGATATAGTGAATGCAGGGTCCAGGGAGAGCGGATATAGTGAATGCAGGGTCTGCAGGGGGGAGATCAGATATAGTGAATGCAGGGTCGGGGGGCAGAGAGGAGGATATAGTGAATGCAGGGTCCGGGGAGAGCAGATATAGTGAATGCAGGGTCCGGGGAGAGAGCGGATATAGTGAATGCAGGGTCCGGGGAGAGCAGATATAGTGAATGCAGGGTCCGGGGTTTAGTAACACTTTAGACAGTAAGGAAAAACACAGGTATTTTATTTTACAACTATTTTCATTACATTTTTTTGTTCTGTTGGGGGAAGCCCTCGCCCCTCAGGAAATATGATAATATTGTGTGTAGCACCCTCTTAGTTACACTAGGTGGAGCTAGATCTCTGATGGGTAGATAGGGGATGGTTAGCAGCTCAGGTGTAATAGCCAGTGGGGTTGAATTTTGGTCAGGACTGAGAGGCTCTGCAGGCCAGCTTCATTGTAATTTTCCTCTGCTCTGAGACTTTCAGGAGGAGGGCCTTGGAGGCATTGGGTGGATCTGAGGAATGGTTGGCTGCATGTTTGAGGGAACTCAGCCAATCCCCAACAGAAGGCTTGGCAAGGGGCTGAACTCCCTTAAAATGTGTTGGAGCTTGCTCAGTAGCAGAAGTGTGGTGGTGGGAGAGAAGTGCGAGTCAAGAAGATGTGAGGCTGGAGGAGGAAGGCTGCCAGGAGGCCTAATGCAATGGTCCAGCCTGCGAGCCTGGAGCTCGAAAAGAGGAAACCTCAGGACTCACTGGTCCCCTGAGAGAGGACTACCTGTGTGGCAAGGAAGGAGCAGCCCAGCTGATAGGTCTGGTAGCAGCAGCCATTGCACAAGCTGTACAGGAGGGGATCACCTACACCCTCTGGGCAGATAGGGAAAGGAGCACTATGGTGGAAAACCAGATTACCCCCTGCTAGTGACTGTATACCTTACTGAAAGGAACAGGAGTCAGATCCACTACTCCAGATTGCTGGGTGAAGAGGAGTTCATATAGGGTCTGGGGTAGTACAACAGAGACTGCGTGTCAGAAAAGAGAAGCTGTACAGAATGTTGTCCTCAGAGTTCGGTTCCCTTGGGCATCCTATACACCCCTTTACCCCATCCAGGTTTAATCCCCTCAATAAAATAAAAAAAACTAACGCTCAAGGCCTGATTTCTGTCTATGGATGAACTCTGTGTGGAAAATGCTAACTGACTAGCTGTGCAGGACTATAAGGAGACCCAAATTCAACAGCAATCCCCAATGGGGTAGTGCTAACTGCAATTCTGGTCCTACAGGTTGTTGACAATAGTCTATGCATATTGTACCTCTGCATGCGCAGTGGGCAGTTTTGTGATGCCATGACGCACGTCGTGCACAAAACCGCATGCCATTTTCCACCAGCTGCCATTTGCATTACAGGACTCCATGTGGAAAGATTGGTACTCTGCCACTCCGGCTCCGCTCCTTCGTCACGCTGCCCTTCTTGCTCACCACCTGCTGCTTTTGGTGCCTGCCCTCTGCGCTGTCCTACTGTCCTGTCAGATTCCACTCCACAGCGAGTTTGGCTTGCTTGTCACCCTGTGAGCCGAATGTTTTCTGTGTCTCTGCAGTCGAAGCTCCGTCGCATCTCGTGTGAGGAGGGCTGTGGTCACCATCTCGTCTAGTGGAAAGGCCAAAGCCTTAACCAATTCCATACCGGGCAATTTTACCCCCTTCCTGCCCAGGCCATTTTTCAGGTTTCAGCGCTCTCACACTTTGAATGACAATTGCGCGGTCATACAACATTGTACCCAAACTAAAATTTTATCATTTTCTTCACACAACTAGAGCTTTCTTTTGGTGTTATTTAATCACTGCTGGGGTTTTTATTTTTTGCTAAATTAACAAAAAAAGACCAAAATTTTTGAAAAAAAAACCACGTTTTTCTTTGTTTCTGTTATAAAAGTTTGCAAATAAATAATTGTTCTTCATAAATTTAGGCCGAGATGTATTCTGCTACATGTTTTGTGAAAATAACAAAAAATTAGGATGTATTATTTAGTTTGTAGGAAAGTTATAGAGTTCACAAACTATGGTATAGATCTGAATATTGATCAATCCTGAAGTACTGACAGCCAATCTAATTTCTTGAGGTCCAATGTCAGAACAGTACAGATATCCCCCCAATGTCAGGACAGTACAGATATCACCAAATGTCAGGACGTTACAGATATCCCCCAAATGTCAGAACAGTACAGATATCCCCCAAATGTCAGGACAGGACAGATATTAAATGTCAGGACAGTACATAGATATCCCCAAATGTCAGCACAGTACAGATATCACCCAAATGTCAGAACAGTACAGATATCCTCCAAATGTCAGGACAGTACAGATATCCTCAAAATGTCAGAACAGTACAGATATCCCCCAAATGTCAGCACAGTACAGATATCACCCAAATGTCAGAACAGTACAGATATCCCCCAAATGTCAGAACAGTACAGATATCCCCCAAATGTCAGGACGGTACAGATATCCCCCAAATGTCAGGACAGTACAGATATCCCCCAAATGTCAGGACAGGACAGATATCCCCCAAATGTCAGGACAGTACAGATATCCCCCAAATGTCAGGACAGTACAGATATCCCCCAAATGTCAGGACAGGACAGATATCCCCCAAATGTCAGGACAGTACAGATATCCCCCAAATGTCAGGACAGTACAGATATCCCCCAAATGACCCCTTTTTGCAGAGTAGACAGTCCGATGTACTTCATAAGAGGAATGGCGAGTTTTTTGAAGTTGTATTTTTTTTGTCATAATTTTTGGGAAAATTAAAAAATTAAAAAAATAAATTTAATATTTTTTTTTTACATACTTTCACCAGTGCAGTACGGCGTCATCATATAACTGGCATGGAGGTGATCAGGGACACTGACTGGTGACAGTATGAAAAAAAAAAAATATTTTTTTTTATTATTTTTATTTATTTTTAATTTTTTATTATTTTTTTTATTTTTTTAAAGATTTTTTTCATATTTCACTATGACCAAAGTAGTACAATGTTACCATAGTAACATTGTACTACTTTGGGGAACTGATCAGTATTTTTTTTTTTTTTTACACAATTTGCTTATAGCAAAGAATTACTTAGCTATAAGCAAGCATTTAGCTGAATGACATCGATTCATTCAGGGGTTTTTGTTTTTTTTTGTGCTTAGCTGTGATTTGGCCACAGCTAATCACATGACATGTGCATGTGACCTGCTGTGACCATTCACAGCTAGACACTAATATACAATGGATGGCATGAATTAAGCCATCTGTTGTATACAACTGTCATGTGACCTGCTGTGATTGGTCACAGCAGGTCACATGGTACCGGCAACGGGGGCCGGTACTCAGATCTGTCATCGGCCGTGTCCGAGGTACAGATCGCGCCACTGCGCAGCTCTGCAAGCGTGAGAACTGTGCATGTGCGGGAGGACGCCAAATGGCGTACACCCCGGAAAGGTAATGCATTTTTGCGGCCGGGCGGCAAATGGTTAAAAAGCCTTTACAATCTCTTTAATCATCAGCCGATGCATTTTCAGCAACAGGGAGCCATCTATTGTCTAGCCAGCAGCGGTAGCCTTTTCTTTAGCGGCTTGCATATCTTGCTTAAAGTATAAAGAAAAGGCAAATTTTTTTTTTTTTTTAGTTTTGGAAAGATTGGAGATGGTTTAGAACACCGGCTAGGATTTTATTGCGGTCGTGCCCGTTAGGGAGATTCACCCTCTATTTTTCCTGTTTACCACTATCATTGAAAGTGAAAGCAAAGAACACCCCAAATTTTGGGCTGTCCTCAGAAAAGTAATAGGAGGGGAAATGGTGACACTAGTTCTGGTAGCCTGGGGGGGACTCAAGGAATTCACTTAATTTGCAGGGATTTCCTATCACTTTTTGTTTTGCGACAGGAAGTGAAGGGGAATCTCCCCAATGGGAAACAGATGGCAAAAAATAAATTACTCTATCTAAAATGAAAAAAAAAAGTTTTGCCTATAGTTCTACTTTAAGGAAAGATAAATCCACTCTGAGCCACCAATCTGTTCTTTACAGCGTATTCTGACATATCAGTATGGCTGCCAATATCAGCTTAATGGACAGTTCCCTGTCCCCCTCTATCAGCCTGTTTATCCCTCCTTGCAAAATAATCAGTCTATCAAGAGATTTCCCTCTGTAACCCCTAAAATGTATCAATCAACTCCCTCTGACAAACATCAAACCTAATGCTGAAACTTAACCCTCAAAGCACCAGGTCCTCCATCACAACACTAACAGCCCCCGATTCCTAGTTCAGAAAATAACTTCTCTATGGATGACGTTTTTTTCTACATAAAAATCTGCCCTACTATAGTTAACTGTACTAAACACAGAGCCAGCCCTGTATTATGCTGTATATACTCACCGTCCTGCAGTAACCCTCTCATTTGATCACAGCTCCGATCATTATAACGATTCACTTCAAATCCCAGATCTCCAAAACATTTGCACAGATCCTCAGCGTCCTTGTCTGTCCCTTCCCGAACAGGCAAATCTGATAGAGCCATAAATCAGAAAGACATAGATGTAACATGAGGGAGATGCAATGAGAAACATAAGTAGAAGACACAGATGTAACATGAGGGAGATGCAATGAGAACAATAAAAGTAGAAGACACAGATGTCCTTGGTTCTGTCCTTGGACCCCTTCTCTTCTCCATCTACACCTCCTCCCTTGGTCACTTGATAAACTCCCATGGCTTTAAGTACCATCTCCATGCGGATGACACACAAATCTATCTTTTTACCCCTCACCTCACCCCTTCAGTCTCCTCCTCACCTCACCCCTTCAGTCTCCTCTCGCATCACAAACCTACTAAGTGACATATCGGCATGGATGTCACTCCACTTCCTCAAACTCAATCTTTCCAAAACTGAGCTCTTAGTATTCCCCCCAGCCCGTGCCCCCCCCCCTGACTTCTCCATCAAGATCAATAACACAATCATCAGTTTCTCCCCTCATGCCAGGGTACTAGGTGTAATCCTGGACTCCCATCTGTCCTTTCAGCCCCAAATCCAATCACTGTCCAAATCTTGTAGACTTCACCTCCGCAACATCTCCAAGATACGCCCGTTCCTAACCTCGGAAACTACTAAGCAACTTATTCACTTCCTTGTTATATCTCGCCTTGACTATTGTAACTCCCTCCTCATTGGCCTACCTCATCGCAGGCTATCCCCTCTTCAGTCTATCATGAATGCTGCTGCCAGACTCATCCACCTCACTAACCGTTCTGTATCTGCCACCCCTCTCTGCCAATCCCTCCACTGTTCTCCACTCAGTGTCCTCCATCCTTCTCTGCCAATCCCTCCACTGGCCTCCAATCAGTGTCCTCCATCCTTCTCTGCCAATCCCTCCACTGGCTTCCCATTGCCCAACGGATAAAATTCAAAGCACTAACAATAACATATAAAGTCATTTATAACTCTTTATTACATAACCGATCTTATCTCTAAATATCACCCAAACTGTACTCTCCACTCCTCGCAAGACCTCCTACTCTCTAGCTCCCTTGTCTCTTCTTCCCATGCTCGTCTCCAGGACTTCTCCAGAGCTTCCTCCATCCTCTGGAACTCTCTACCCCAATTTATCAGACTATCGCCTACTCTGCTCACTTTTAGGCGATCTCTGAAAACCTCTCTCTTCAGGGAAGCCTATCCAGCCCTCAGTTAATACTAGAATCTTCTACTCTTCCAACCAGTCCATCCCCTACAGTTACTACCTTTTGTCCCACTAGCCCCTCCCTCCTAGATTGTAAGCTCCAAGGAGCAGCACCCTCAAATCCCTCTTGTTTTGAACTGTATTTTTGCTGTATTGTCTCCCATTGTATTGTAAAGCGCTCAGCAAACTGTTGGCGCTATATAAATCCTGTATAATAATAATAATAAATAATAATGTAACATGTGGGAGATGCAATGAGAACAATAAAGTTGAAGACAAATGTAACATGAGGGAGATGCAATGAGACAATAAAGTAGAAGACATAGATGTAACATGAGGGAGATGCAATGAGAACAATAAAGTAGAAGACATTGATGTAACATGTGGGAGATACATGCCTCCCAACTGTCCCTGATTTTGATGGACTGTCCCTGATTTGGAACAAAGCCCCTCTCTCTCGCTTTCCTTCCCATTTGTCCCTCGTATATAAAATGCACTATATATCTTTCAAAAAGTGTTTAACAGTGCTAAACCTTTAATCCGGTTTCTCAATGGTTGCATTTGTAAACTTCAAAAGCCTAAAGGAGTAGTTGTAAAGAAAAAGTACTTGTGGTGTTTAATCCATTTTATGTGCAATTCTCCTTTAAGGATGCGTGGCAGGGGGTGTGTCCTATAACTACATACATTTGCTAATAGGTGTCCCTCGTTCCCATCTCAAAAAAGTTGAGCAGTATGAAGATATACATCATAAAATAACTATATTTTCATAAGAGAACTATATACTAAAAAAATAAATACAATAATAATGCTGCACAGGGAGCCTGGAAAACGTCCTATTGTGCAGAGTTTACTAGCTGTTGTGTTAGACTTCATCTACTGTTTTATAATCTTCTCCATTTCCAGACACTCCAGGTACAGGCCACTTAAAATGACTTTTGCTAAAACTGCCCGCATCTCCATCATATGCGAGATAGCTGCAGGTAAAGTAGAATGCTCCCTAGGGGCAAGCACCCTTCTTAGGCTGAGATACCAGACTGGGGATGTGGCAGGCGCAGCACCCTTTGGTGCCTAGTGCCCTGTGGCATTAGAAAAATTATACAATTGCTGTTTCTTTGTTTGATTAGACTGACTTTACTCTGTAATTCCTCCAATGCCGCTCTATGGATGCAGTAGGTTTAAAGAGCACACCGAATACTTTAGTTAACTTCTTTAATAACTTCAATCTTCTTCATATAACTGCTTACAATGGCTTGTTTCTTTCATATTACAATGGTTTAATTCGTATTACATTGGGTTGATTCGATAGCTTATCTCGATAGGTTCGATAGATTCAATTGGATTATGATTACTCTACAGTGACTTGATTCGATAAATTCGTAAATTCGTAAGTTCGGTGGAACTACAAGTAAACACATACAACAGTTTTTAGACACAGATCTACCTGCATTACTAAACAACAGAGGAACACACAAGTGCATTAAATACCTATTTGGCCTTCTCTACTTCCATGGAGCTTCTCTGATTGGAACTTTGTCTGTTTCCTCTTCTGTCTGGTGAGCATGTGTCTCTAGAAAATCCTAGCAGGGAGTTTTACACAGGCATGAATGTGAAACTGGCTGGGATTGGTTAAGGCTCCGTACAGTGTGAGGCTGTCTGTGATTGGCTCACCTTATACTAACTCTTAAAGGCGTATTTTCCTTTTCTGCTTCTGCTAACACAATGAATATAGAAATGTCATATAACAAATCAAAGACATAAATTACAGCAATGATTCTGCTTTTGGCTTTAACATATGCACATATACACTGTACTGAGGTTATTGGCAGGTTTGGTATACACATATATGTGAACCATATTAACAACCTAGGACTGGTCTTAGCTGGCCAGCTACAGGGGATGTGGTGACTACAGTGGTGATTTCATCTGTGCTATATACAGGCGGTGTACAATGTTTCAAATGGAAAACAAAAAGGCTCAAAAAGAGAAAACCTAGATATTCTCAGCTTTTTTTACACAAACTACAATCCTAACAGGCTGTCTACACATACAATTTTCTATGTAGTACAAGGGCTTGTCTAATTGCATATCATTTGGAAGCTTTTAGGTTTGACCTCATACTGTATGGTTTTGGTTTCTAAAGAAAATGGCGAAACTGTAATGCTGGCTACACACTATACAAGCAGTTCCAACAGATGTGACCTGTCTGCTCCCCCAGCCTGCAGAGCACTAACTGTGTCCAGTGAGCCTAAATTGCCTGACAGGGTGTAGTGCAAAACCCAGAGTGGATTAGAGGTTTCAAAAAAAGGTATGTGAAAGATGCCTTGGGAATGTGTAAATCCCAAACGTGACTTTTCCAGGCTCCCTGGAAGACCCTCTGCCACAATATTATCTATTTCTATATCTGTCTATGTATGTGTGTGTGTCACAGCAATGTAGGCTGCACTCAGCTCAATAAAAGTAACCACAGTGCACTCAGGATAGATTAGTAACCAGATATAGATTCTGAAGTATCTTGTGAGTTTATTAAATTCCATTTCTACCAAAACCTGTAGAACAGTTTGAGATCCAGATGGGCTCCTCCTAACATACAACAAGCACGTATACGCCATACTTCTCCTTAAACAGTGTTCTTCATTGGGAAACACCTGAACTCCATTACTTGGAGGGGGGTTCACATAGTTGTGACCATAAAATAGGTGTAATGGTTGGGCATTCACATACTTTTGCCAATATATTCTATGAATATATACCCTCACTGGCCACTTTAGGTTGACCTTGCTAGTGTGAGAAAAGCTCCCCCACACCATTACACCACCAGCCTCAACCATTGATACAAGGCAGGATGGATCCATGCTTTCATATTTACACCAAATTCTGACCCTACCATCTGAATGTCACAGCAACCAGTCTGCCCATTCTCCTCTGACATCAACAAGGCTTTTTCCTTCACACAACTGCCGCTCTCTGGATATTTTCTCTTTTTCAGACCATTCTCTGTAAACCCTAGAGATGGTTATGCCTGAAAATCCCAGTAGATCAGCAGTTTTTTTAAATACTCAGACCTGCCTGTATGGCACCAACAACCATGCCACGTTCAAAGTCACTTAAATCCCATTTTTTCGCCATTCAGATGCTCGGTTTGAACTTCAGCAAGTCATTTTCACCATGTCTAGATGCCTAAATGCATTGAGCTGCTGTCATGTGATTGGCTGATTAGCAATTTGTGTTACAAAGCATTTGAAAAGGTGGCCCTAATAAAGTGGCCGGTGAGCGTATGCAACATCAGTGGAACACATGCTGGCTTCTGAAGCAGCGGCAGCCGGTCTCTGCAATATCGCTGGATACTCTGGGTGCTGGATAACAGCACACTTATACGCGAGCAGGGAGCGGACTGAGAACTCATGGGGCCCCCGGGCAATAGGGGATCATGGGGCCACTGTGTCCTTGCCCACACTCAAACTACACCCAAAAAAAAACCCAAAAAACGTATATATAAAACCTATATATAAAAAATCGAGCGCAGTGTATAAATGTAAAATAGAGTAGCCGCTGGCAACAAAAAGGCACCTCGAGAACCTCTAGAGTAAATGGTAAAGAATAAAAGTGCAGCGCTAACCCAAATGGTGATTAGACATATGATAAACCACATGTGATTGTGGATTAGTAGAGTGTCGGCGTAAGTTCATCAAACGTGCTGAGATGAAGTATGCATACAGTCTCTAATATGCAAGAAACCATAAAAGTGGACTTTCATAATGTCATAGGAAATAGTCAAATAAAGCACTAACCAGATAGCGCATATAAAGCGCATGGGGCATTTAAGACCTGCCCCTGGTGCTCAGCCACTGTATCCCTGGAACAAGGAGGTGTCATCTGTAGGGCCTCCACTAGATGTCATCCGTCCGCATGGAAGCTATGTCCAGCCACTGAATTAATGGATCAGGCGGGTGTCATCTATAGGGCGACCACTAGATGTCATCCGTTCATGGAGGAGCTGTATCATGGATCCAGGGATGTCACTTGCAGATGTGATCTTGCTATGCTCAGCCCCAGGACCTTCAGGATTACAGGCTCCCGAAAATAAAGAGCCCGTGAAAAAGGCCTCAAATAGTGTGAGAACGTTTATTAAAGTTGATAAGTAATCATTAATGAACTTACTAACAAAGGTTCAGCTGCTCATAAAAAAAACGGCCAGACCAGAGGTACATGTACAAGGGATAAACACAGCTTGGCACTTCCCTAACACGTATCATGTGAGTACACATCATCAGAGGGCCTCTGATGCACTTTTTTATTCTTTACACCCAAAAAAGCCTATGAAAGGTACCAGGGGCAACTCATGGGGCCCCCTACTGACCCCGGGCAGTGCCTGAGTGCTCGAATGGTCAGTCCGCCCCTGTACGCGAGTGTATGTACTGTAGATCAGGGGTCTCCAGACTTTCTAAACAAAGGGCTGGTTTAGTCTTTCAGACTTTAGATGGGCTGGACTGGAGACCAGTTGGAACAGAAAATGCCAGTAGGAGGATGAATAATGCCCCATCATTGGTGTCAGAGGAGCGGGGAGGAATGAGCCTGCTTGGGTGCTCCCATAGCAAGCTGCTTGCTATGAACACTTGGCAGGATGGAGGAACCAAGAGCCCCAGCAGGGGACTTGAAAAAAGTAGGATTGAGGCTGCTCTATGAAAAACCATTACAGAGCAGGTAAGTATAACATGTTTGTTTAAAAAAAAAAATTTAAGAAACCTGCCTTTATAATCACTTTAAGCACAATTACATGTATATTATCATTTCTCTCTGTACTAGTACCAAATACAATTGGTTTTATCACTTATTTGTATATAAATGACTAAATATAGTTAAAGGAGAGTGCGAGTGAAAGGTTTCTGTTGTATAAAAAGACAAGTATGAGCAGATCTCAGAGTTCTAGGTGACAAATGAAAGGAATGACATCATTACCTGTGCTTTTATCAAACTTCTTGTTGTTTATAACAATACACGTGCCAAGCTTCCGGTAATTCATAGAAATACCGAAGTTCCGGGGTAACAGCAGCAAATTTCTGTCTGGATGGTATTGCTGGTTTAACTTTTTCATTTTCTTGCTGGAAATGTAAAAAAAAAAAAAAACAGTTCAGATATTTGGAAAAAATTTTATTCTCTATGTCCTGGTTTTGTACTGCTGTGAAGTCTTCCTAAAGAACAGAACTCTTTTTATGGTGGCCATACACACGTCAATAAATGATCAACATGAGAGACAAGGTACTTAACCAATGGGGAAACCTCCTCTCCCATTAATGACCAGCCAGATTGCATGCTTGGATTAAGGGCATGGTATGGATTTCCTGCAGGACCTCACTATTTTTTTTTTGGGGGGGGCGCTATATTATTTTTTTCCATTCGTGCTGTAGGACGTGCTACAGCAAGAATGGCAGCAAAAAATGGATTGATTAAAATTAAATTAATTTTATTTTTTTGTTACATTTATGTACAGTGGGAATAATTACCCTGCAGATTTGTAAATTTGCCCACTTACAAAGAAATGAAGGGTTCATAATATCCAACCAAGAACCCACAAGGAGTCACGTGGACCCAAGATGCTAATGGGGGGAAGAACAGAAAAGGCCACCATCCCTATTGTCCAACAATTGATCTGCACACAGTGTGAGGACCTGCTTTTGGGAGTCAAGGCAGGAGGATTATTTACTAGGAAGATCTCAATGTGTGCATGTAGAGAGAGACAGAGAGGTGGAGTTCTGTAGTCCTCATTGAATCAACTGGTCTTTTTCTGTACTTGCACTGTATTTAAAGAGATACATTTGTGCAAATGCTGCAATCATCAGGTAACCATCATCAAATCACAGATGTCTGAGGGTACAAGGTGATACATGGAGACTACTACTACTGGGTGTAAATTAACAACTGAGTTGTACACAGTTAATACGTGACGGAAGTTTACGCACCGTGGGAGGTATATAATTCCTCTGGATAGGCATCAGTGTTCCTGTGGAACCAAAATAATGATGTCAGAATACACAATCCAAGATAAAACTGCCAAGACAATTCTACACAGATACTGTACAATCATGGTGAGGAGACCCTTGTACGTCATGTAGGACCTTCCTAGTGTAGTGTAGATGAGGAAAATTTAGCTAGCTCCTCTGTAATAAGAGGAGCAGGGGTTGATTGGCCAAGGCTGCTCAGTGTCTCCAAGGCTGCAGTGTTGATTACTTCCCCTGAAGACTGAATATTTATGGGACTCCAGGCAATCCCTGGGAATGCTTGCCCAGTAGGTGGTTTGAAAGCCGATAAATAGTTTGAGGCTTGAGGCAGCAGGGGAGTATGCCTGGGTCCAGTCCTGCTGGAGGAGACTCCTGTGCAGAGGGCTCTACTACTGGGGCAGGAGAGCGATAAGTGCAATTTAGTAGATACCAAAGGCCCAGCTAAGCCCTAGCTTGGGGACCTATTTGCAAGCTTAGCCCTGGAATCAGCTTGGGTCTGGAGAGAGCTCACTAGAGGGTGCCAGGAGGAAGCTGGGGGAGGAGTGCCCATCCATCCTATGGTGGTGTGAGCCTGCATCTCTCTCAATGAGAAGAGCCACATGGATATCAAAAGGAGGCAACCGATGATCCTGTGGCTCTGAGAGTATATGATCCAGGGGCTGGAGAGTCAGTTACTGTCTAGGAAAGTCAGTCACCATCAGCATTAGAGATTCTGTGGAACATTTCTTTGATAGCTATGGAGTCCTAAAATTTATCCTCAATTTTTTTTTGAGTATCCCATGCTCTTCCTGATCCCCATCCAAGTTCAACATTTCAATAAAACCCTCAAAAGACACCCCTAAACCATTCTTTTGAGCCAATGAATGAGTGAACATGCTGTGTGTGATTTTACTGGGAGAATAGCACTAAGTTCAAAAGCGGTTCTCTAGGGGGCGCACTACAATCATATTTCCCATCTGATGATTGGCAGCTTGTGATAAAGACTTCATTTCAGACAGGAACAAAAATTCACAAAACAAATGATTTTCTTAAGGAAAAAATAAAAATAAACTTTATATAGTGAGGCATTAGGCCAAACACACTGAAAGACAGATTTGGGGGTTACATGACCTCAAAAAAAGGTACCTGTCACGGATTCCCTCACACGCCACGCCCACAGCGACTAGCTAACCGAGGGGCGCACGTGTGGCCGTGACTGGGGGTAAGAGGGAATAAAGAGGACTTAACTTTGAATATATAAAACCGTATAGAAAACCAGCCGTGATGTACTTCCACAGCCCGCACTACCTTTTGGCCACCACCAGAGGGAGACTCCACTCCAATCCAGCTGGCTGACCACACACTGGCAGATACGATCTTACATACAATCTGGTGCACTAATTAGGGTTGAGGAGCAGCCTAGCAATTGACACACCCTTCTAGGATTCCTCCAGCTATCCTACAAGCCAGAACCCCGGTGTTAATCACTCTTCCACTGTCCACACACCCCCACACCAGACACACCACAAAAGGTAGCCTGCCACCACCCAACAGTTTATTCGCAGAACGGTCTGCTGAGACACCCCACACACACAGATCTCTGTCTGGCAGATCTGTTACCTTTACAATCTGCACGCAATCTGCCCACACACAGTGCAATTGCATACAGATTGGCAATCAGCTTGACCGAGCGTTTAAAAGGCACTAACATACAATACAATCTAATCTCTCCAATCTAATCTCTCCAATCTAATCTCTCCGGAGATATGAGCCCGAGCTTAAATACACAGAAGTCACTAATTCATTTTAAGATTTAATTTCCCGAAAGTGGGCAGTGCATAAAATATGTACAAAATATAAAAAGTTACAGAAATACAAAAATGCAAGAAGACACACAAATGACTATCCACTATAAAATAAATAGGGAATAAAAGACAGAAGTAAAACTTTACCAGGATTTACCCTGCGACTGGAGCAAGTCAGAAAAGTCAGCAATCCGTTGGTCGATCAACCAACTCCATACGAATTACCATGTCCCAATGCCTGGGTACTCAATTTATGGGGATATGGACGTAGGTGGGACATTAGTCTTCAGCCAATTGACCCTGCGGGCTGCCCCTGTACCTGCCCACAGGATGTTCTGGGTGCTGACCTGCCCAAGTTTCAATCGGACCAAGACCGGCTTGAAACACCAAGTCGGGGATAGGATTTCCGACACCAGCGCATCAGTCCGATCGCGACAGTACCAAACACTGTTCGACTGTCGCACTCCAGCATCACCTAACCATTTCCTGCATTTTCCTGGCCTTCTAACTAAGCCACAAATATGGTTTTTACATGCCGATGTAGCCTACAGAGTGCCCCATCGGAAGGAAGTATTTTCATCTCTCTGTAACTAATATTTTCGCTTTTATGAGGGATGAAACATACTTCTTTGATGTATGTATATTCCCTTTAAAGCTTCCAATGTCAGGCAGACAACCTGTCTGCAGCCACCTCCTTCAAACCAGTCTCCCCAGAAGGTGACAAAACCCCATTAGCCCCAAGGTGTCACTTCCAGAGGAAGCCAGGCTTTTCAGACTCTAATTGATGACCATCTATTTATGAGTACCTCATTTCCCCAATGACAAGGACTGAATATTTCTTAATGACAAGGACTGAAACTACATCTACGATAATATTGTCATATCTTATCTACTCAAATCTTACATGTACGTTACAGTACGCATAGACATAAAACAAATATCCCTGAATTTAGACAGAAATTCTTAAATTGAGGAGCTACCCTTGAGAAATTAGTGTCTGCACTCTCCTACTCCATTACAACACAAGTTTGTTTTTTATCATATTTATGTAAAAGTATTAGTAAGATCTCGGTTTTGATTTTTACCTACAGGTAAGTTTCTAATAAAGCTTAACTGTAGGTTAAATAAATATCACCTAAAACATGAACGGTTTAGGAGATCGAGTCTTGTTTGGGATCTAGATGCATCACTCGCTCATGTGCTCTGCATGAACGGCATGCCCATGCTGTTCCTTCAGAGTACTGTACTGTGGCAGTGACTCATGGGAGTGACATCACGGCTTGGTCATGCAAGCAGCCGCAGTCCGTGAACTCGGAAGGAAGATCGGGTACATAGTTAGTCTGGCTGAAAAAAGACAAAAGTCCATCCAGTTCAACCATGAAAAAAAAAAAACAACAATACACCACAATCAAGAAAGTGAAAAAAATGTCACCCAATAAACTGAAACCATGTAAAATGCAAGAGATAAAATGTTACCGTTTACAGTTTTAGGCTTACCAGCTTGTTGTGGACGAGTTATATTGATGTTCAGCAGAGCGGACAATAAGGTTTCATATTCTGATGACTTTTCCTGATGACTAAATAAAAAGATATTGTGGTACAAATCTTCTATGTCAGGATAACTTTTCAATATTTGTTTCTTCTGCTGATCACTGCTGTCCTCCACGTTATCTATTACTATGATCATATTATCCTTCCCTGTAGACACACAAAATAATAATAATAATAATAATAATAATAAAAATAAAAAAAAAGTTACATTCTTCCTCCTGTATTACCCTCTTAGAGTACTGCAAGCTGTTAGGTATTTCAGCTAGCTCCTCTAATCAGTGGAGCAGGGATTGATTGTTTAGGCCTGCTCAGTGTCTAACAGGCTGCTGAACTGATTCCCCCCTCCCCCCCCCCACTATATTCTAGAATTATGGTGAGAGGAAGAACAGAGTGGATAACCTGATTTTTTTAATGAAACTCTAGCCAATCCCTGGAGAGGTGTGCCCAGTTGATGGTGGGAGAGCCCATAAATAATCTGAGGCCTGAGGCAGAGGAAAAGGTTTATGGGTTCAGTTCTGCTGGAGGAGAACTCTGTGCAGGAGCTCTGGCCCTGGAGTAGAAGCGCTAGGGAAGCCTTTGTGAAGACATTGAGGTCCCAACTAGGCTTAGCTGGGGGGCCTATTTGCAAGCTTAGTCCTGGAATCAATTTGGGTCAGGAGAGAGCTCACTGGAGAGAACCAGGATGGGGGAAAGTGTGTGTGCAACTGTCCTATGGTGGTGTGAGCTTGCATTTCCCTCACCATGAAGAGTGACTGTGTGTAGCTTTTGGTCTCTGGGAGAATCCATAGTCAGCATCAGTATTCGAGATTGTGTGAGACATTTTTTTGTACGGTTCAGCAAGATAGGAGTCCTCAGAGGGTTCAGTTCTGGGGTATCCCTTGCTCCCTAACCACATCCAAGTTCTATGTTCTAATACTACCCTAGAAAAGGCACCCCCAGACTGTTCCTTTGAGCCAGTGGAAGAGTGAAGGAAATGCAGTGAGCCTGGCTGTGTGTGCTCCAACGGAGGAATAAGGCCACGTTCCCCGGTGGCTCCCTAGGAGGTGTGCTACACTCCTGCATGTAGAGATCATCATCATTTAATACAATCAAATATAGGCAGGTGCAGTCTGATGTTTCTATTATAGGTGGTGCTGAACCGAGTGGTATGCCAGCCTGAAGAGGAAGTCAAGGGAAACAGTTTCTCTATGGTTTCCTGGATCAATGGAGCAGAGCTCTGGTTAGGTACACTGCAACCATGTGACCCCTGGTGGCCATATTGGGTCATCAGGGTCTTTATAAGTCCCTGCCCCAGGGCTTTGGCATGCATTTATTGCAAGTGGCTAGTGTAGGGAGAGACACCCCACCTGTTAGGGAACGTGACTAGCAGCAGGCAAAGGTTCCAGGTGAGCAGGCACAGGCTAGGGCTTGCAATCCTGAAAGGAAGCCTCCCTTCTCTGGGACCGGACTGCCAGGCCACATTCCACCCTCTAAATCAGGCGCTGTCGGCATCTCTCATTTACATCTCTGCACGGCACTGGACTGCGAGCGATTCCCTAAGTAGCGCTCTCAGGCTAGGTTTTTTGCAACGTTGGCATTCTATTCAAAACCAGTTTCAAAGTTCACTGCCATGTAATGACAACACAAACATGATGCACATTTGCAGCGCATTTCTGAAACACATGGAAAAGCATGCAGATTGCCATGCGTTCAGAAACAGACACAGAGATGTGAATGGAGCCTCTTTGCTCTGTGTAAAACATACCAATTTCACTTTCAGGTCCCAATCACACAGAGTAGAGGGAGCGCATGTTTTTTTTTGGCTTGTTCCAGAGGCATACATAGGGCAGCCTGTTGATTTTAAATACACAGTTTGGTTGCAGTTAACATGGCTTGCATGAAATTAATGGCCCAAATATACAAGCAGCCCAGTGGGAAAGTACCACACTGGGAAACATAGTTCTTTGCAGCTTGTTGGATGGAGCAGGTTCAGATGCACCTACGGTGTCCGTCTCCGAGGGCAGAATGTGGCCTGGCCAGTCTGAGCCCAATGGGGAGAATTCCAGTGCAGGATGGAGTGTCCCTTGCCTGTCCCTTCCAGTTCAGATCCTTTTTCAGCTACTAATCATTTTCCCTCTGTCCCTACACTATCCATTCACAAAATGTGCACCAAGCCAGGGAGCCGGGATCTTACATAGACTCTGCCAAACCCAAGATGGCTGCTAGAGTCAAGTGGGGCAGCAACCAAGACTGCTTTCCCAGTGACCCAGGAAACCATAGAGGAGTATGTTCCTCTTAACTTCCTCTCCCTCTGCAATGCAGCTGCAGCTGAGCGCCACTTGCTGTGGAGAAAGTATACGACCTATAGTTAGGACCCAGCTACATGTGTTGGTCACATTGATAAAACATTCAGGGACCCATCTTACATGTACATGAAAAATATTGAAAATGACAACATGTTAAAGTCATTAATCGATGTGCAAACTGTTGGCACTATATAAACGCTGTATAATAATAATAATATTAGAGATTTTACATCCATTTATTAAAGACGGACATTATAATATCTCTTACCAAAATGACTTTTGTACTTTTGTATCATCTGCATATCCTCTGCATCGGCCTCATCGATTTGTCCTCTCTTCTTGATGAAGTACAAGAAAGCAAAGAAGTAAAGCCCACTGTAGAATAGACCATTGTCGATAGTAAATGGTTTGACATCTAAACCAAGATCCTTGAAATTATCTGAATGAAGGAGTTCCGTTATCCAGGAAAAATCACTATTTGTTGATCTGGAGACAATCCCAAGTGAGTCATTTAACTGAAAAATAAAAAAAAAAAAAAAACAAAAATGAATTAATATCGCTGTAGAAAGAATAGGTAAAGTAGAATTGCTGATTCGACAGCACTGGCTAAGGATCGACAGGGGGCATGTTGGGCCTCTGCAAAGAAACCACTGCTTTCAGTCAGAGACCAAGGATCCTACTCTGCAACAGGCTGGCAGGAGACAATTACATGTTCACACTTGCTCAGATTATCACATTCTCTGGGGCCAAGTTGGCCCAATCAATCATCAGAAATAATTCCACCTAAATTCTGAAATGTATCCACAGAAGTAGCTGAACTGGTCCCATGGTGATGCTGAGCTCCTCCATGCCTCTTTTCAATTTGGTTGCCCTTTTCTGTACTTTCTCCAGTTCCCCAATGTTTTTTTTGTGAATTCGTGCCCAAAACTGAACTGCATATTCCAGATGAGGTGTTACTAATGATTTGTACTGGGGGGGGGGGGGGTAATATGATATCTCTCTCTCTGGAGTCTATACCTCTTTTAATACAAGAGAGGATTTTGCTCGCTGAAACCGCACCTTGGCATTGCTGCCATTAAGCTTGTGATCTACCAGAACCCCCAGATCCTTTACTACAATTGACCCCCCCAGATCCTTCTCCACCATTGACCCCCCAGTTGTACTCCCCTAGTATGTATGATGCATATTCTTAGCCCCCAAGTGCAGAACCTTACATTTATCAACATTAAACCTCATTTGCCACATAGTTGCCCAATTACACAGAGCATTGAGAACGGCTTGTAAGTTGGAGACATCCTGTAAGGACATTATTCCCGGCACAGCTTGGTGTCATCTGCAAAGACTGAAATGGGATTTATAATCCCAGACCCTATGTTGTTTATAAATATATTAAAAAGTAAGGGTCCCACCACTGAACCTTGGGGTACCCCACTAATAACACTGAACCTTGGGGTCCCCCACTAATAACACTGAATCGTGGGGTACACCGCTAACAACCCCCAGACCATTCAGAGTATGAATCATGAACCACTATTCTCTGAATACAATCTTTTAATCAGTTTTCTATCTATTTACTTACGGATTTTTCCAAGCCCATAGACTTTACCTTACACATTAGCCGTGTGTGGGAAACTCTTTTGCAAAATCCACGTATACCACGTCCGCCTCCACCTCCACCCCTCTGTCCAAGTATACCACGTCCACCACCACCCCTCTGTCCAAGGTTTTGCTCACTTCCTCATAAAAAGAAATCAGATTTGTTTGACAACTTCTGTCTTTCATGAATCCATGCTGTCTGTTGCTTAAAATATTTTTTCCAGCAAAAACTCATCGAGGATCTTCCCAACTATAGAAGTTACACTAACAGGTCTATAATTACTTGGTAAAGATTTTGACCCCTTTTTAAATATTGGCACCACATTGGCCTTACACCAATCCAGTGGTACTATGCCAGTCATTAAAGAGTCCCTAAAAATTTAAAAACAATGGCTTTGAAATAACAGAGCTCAATTCTTTTAAGTCCCCGTGGGTGTATGCCATCCGGTCCAGGGGCTTTATTCACCTTTATTCTGTCTAAATATTTTTGGCTCATATCAATTGTGAGTCAATGTGGATCAACTGGAGCTGTGTCAGTACCACACCCATTATGGACAAGAGCCCCCCCATGCCCCTTGTGTACTTGACAGCGGTATTTTGGATGCTCTCCTGCTTCTCTGCCCCTCTGCCTTCTGAGAGACATCTGGCCCGCCGACGCAACAAACAGGGACCCGAGCTAGGTAGCAATCCTCTGGTCAGCCAAAAAGACATGATTCCACCGCACTAGTGTCTTGGTTGCCCTTGAAGAAGACCACTATCTGTCAGTTCCCCCCACCACCCCAGGGAACGTTCAAGTGGCTCTGAAAAGGATTGATTCCCATTGTAATGGAGCGCTCTCTGTAGGGAGTCACCTGTGCTCCTGCTGCTGATTCTCTTTATGTTAGCTTGTAAGGTACCCATTTGTTGTTGCCAGGCTTGCCCAGCCGCTTCTGACTGCCATAAGGGTAGGAATAAAATAGCTGCAGCCAGCAGGTTCCACCCCCCTTTGTGATGCGATTCTGCCTTGCTACACTGCAATATGCAATCCTTGGGGGGCTGTGCCTCTGCAGCCTGGCACCAATTCTCCTGGGCTTCCCCTTTAGCCACTTCACAGTGTGGATCTTGGGCAGCCTAGAAACAGTATAGAGGGATCTGATCACAGTTCACCCACAGGGGACAATATGACAGCCACAATAAACCAGGGACTAATACCCAGGGACACAGACACCTTCCCACACAGCTCCCTCAGTGAGCACTAAAACACACACTAGAACTACTACCAACTGCCCGGGGAGGGGGGCACCTGGACACAGGGTAAAAAAAAAAAAAAACACACCACACTCACACCAAAAAACAACCACTACAGACTACCTAGGAGCCTAGAGGATCCCCTTTGCTGGGGTCCACTGCCCTGGACCTGTACAGCACCCTACTGGAAAGACAATGTAACAATGTGCAAGGTTCCATAAACGCAGGGTACAGTGTAGATCGACAACATTACAGGCTATCCCCACATCACATCCATTCTCTGTCTGGTGTGGGATCTGGGTACCAGTCTTCTGAGCAGGATATCTCAGAAGTCTTATCGGTCTCCTGATCCCTCTTAGAACCATTACAAATCTGGTAAATTGTGCAGGGAGTTGCACAGAATGGACCATCACTTTCAGACACTGGACCCCAAAAAATAAATAATAATTAAAAAAAAAATCTATTATCTATTATCTATCTATCTATCATCTATCTATCTATCTATCTATCTATCTATCTATATCATAGCATTTGGATAATATGGGAGAGGAGAGAGGAGAGAGAGAGCGAGAGTGGAGACGAGAGAGAGAGAGAGAGAGAGAGAGAGAGAGAGAGAGAGAGAGAAGAGAGAGAGAGAGAGAGAGAGAATGTAACATGCCAGATAAAGTAATACAGAAGTAATTTGGAGAAGTGACATAGTAACCGAAAAAGACAAGGTGAGGATTCAATAACCTGGAAGTGGGATATAAAATGGTTTGCCTTGATGAAGCAGTTCATTCTGCACTCCTGTGTCCCATTTTTAGCCAACAGCGGGCTGAGGCTTACTGTAGGCTGATGTCTCTCAGCCAGTCCAGGCTGGGGAAGGAACCTGACTTTAAAGTGGGGATCCACCCAGATCTCTGGACCAGCATCTGACTCACAGAGCCGCTGAGAGCCTGAGCCAGCTACTTCTGCCCTCTCCACAGCCCATTGGGATGAAGACCTCCATCCACCTAGAATGGACATTGTCCTATCACCAGGATTTATCAGTTTGGTCTTAGTCTGGAGTAGAACTCTTCCTGGGACTAATATTATTCCCACCACAGACCGATATCTATAAATGTCTATACAGCTCCATATCACTGTATTTATATTAATATCAGAATGGATTAGGCACAGAGGTGGTAGTATCATAGACAATAAAGAGACTTACCTCACGTGAAAATCCATGATAAAGCTGATCAAAAAACAAAAATGTAATTGGTGAGAAGGCACAGTACTGATATAAAAGAAATTAGTACAAGTTTTCTACAAGTGTAATTTTGGGAAAAAACAAACAAACACATACATATATGTAAATACAGTCTGTTAGTAGCAATAACAAAGAAGGTTTGTTTTTTTGCTTTTTTTTTTAGTCCCCCTGTAAGACTTCCTATAACAGGGTGTGACAACTCTAGTCATGCAGCAATGAAGTCACAACAGTGTTGACACCCTCTGGAAAGGGTAGTCTTGGATAGATACAGTGCATCCAGAAATTACTAACAGCACTTAACTTTTGTCACATTTTGTTATGTGTTACAGCTTTATTCCAAATGGATTGAATTAATTTGTTTCCTCAACATTCTACAAACAATGTCCCATAATGACAATGTGAAAGAAGTTCATTTTGAAAACTTTTCAATTTATTAAAAATTAAAAAAAACGAAAAAAAAAAAACACATGTACATAAGTTTTCACAGCCTTTGCTCAATACTTTGTTGAAGCCCCTTTAGCACCAATTACAGCCTCAAGTCATTTTGGATATGGGGAACTTGGCCAATTCCCAGGCAAGAGGCCAGGCATGGTGGCCAAGGGCAACCTTTAAATATGACAGAGCCTGTGCAACAGGGGAGTCGGGTGGAAGATGGTCTAAGAGGAGGCTGGAGTGTGGAACCTGGGGATGGGGCCCCAGGGAGGAGAGCCTCTCTACAGGCTGGTTGCTGGACAGAAGGATCTTTACTGTCTACAGTCTCCTAGGGGGGGATAATCCTGTCAGACGGGAAGAAGCCAGCCCAGCATAAGGCCTGAAAGCAGCTACAAGCCATGAAACTAGTGAGTACCACGACACCCCCTTGGCCAGATAAAGGGAGAGGGCGGTCAGGTGCAAGACCCAACTAGTTCTCATCTGAGACTACTTAATTGACAGATCTTGGAATCCCTTGACAGGGATACCCTCAGAGCTTCCAAAGGCTTTTTTATGCTGTGCAAGACAACTGTGTTATTTCTACAACTAAACTGTAAAATATAGATATGTCTGCCGTGTCCTTAGGTAGGTTGGCCTGTCAGGTTGAGGGCTCCGAGAAGGAAGGGTTAACTGCTGGCTAGATTTTCCCCACTCTCTCTCAGGAGGTTACCACCCCCTGTTGGTCATGTCATATAAATAGGGGCTCTTCGGTACCCAGGAGGCCATTTGAGGAAAGACTGCTAAGATGTAGCTGTTACTCTGTCGGTCTGTACCTTCATCTGGGGGCCCCGTCGGGGTTGGGAACCTGAAGACTTAAATGAACTTTTACCTACCAATAATGGATTTACTGTCTTTTATGGATTACTGCCCAAATCATGAACTCCAAGGGATTACTTGCTACCTCTGGATTTATTGCCTAAATGGGCTCTTGCATCTAAAGGATTGCTTTGTGAACTTTGCTGCTAAATCAGTTATGACTGCCTCATGGGCACCTAGAGAACTCTACAGGAATGTGTGTGAAGATGCCATTTGAAAAAACTGTTCCTGTGTTTCCCTTAGCTACCTGCCATTCCAGGCTAATTTTAATCTTTCATTTTAATAGTGTTCTTTGAATGAATGCCTACAATTCCCAGCAGCCTTAGCGGCTGTCAGCTTGTAGTTTTCAATGAACTACCATGGTGCTGTGGAGCTCTGTGATAGTTCATTGACCGCCCCTTGAAGACGTCATTCATGATGAAACTAGTAGGGCTTGCTGGATGCTGACGTCTGTGGAGAAAATTGAGTCGCGAGCGCTGTAGTGAGTGTGCGGGGAACAGGAGACTGTTATACCATTTGCTGTTTTATGCTGTTATACTGGTGTCGGTGAAGACACCCTTTTTGTGAGTGTAAATCTTTATTAAATTGTTGGATACTTTTATAAACTGGCTGCACCATGATTTTCTCTTTCATTCCCAAACATGACCTCGGTGTAGAGATATAAAAAAGAGAGAGTGATATAATGCTCCTGGAACCGTTATATTGAGTGGTGGATACCTACCTTATGGATGATTTGTGTAGCTATTGATCATCACACCTGAGAAGTTGATTCATTGCATCTGCTCCCAGAGCAAAAAGCATTTCTTGCTGATCTAGAGATTGATCAGCATGGAGCTCTGGTGAGTTACCCAACTTTATTTTGGTGGTGGATTTTGGCACAATTTCTTTGAGAGCACCTGAAATTTGAAAAGGATTTGTTTGGACATTTGAAGAAATTCAGAATTGGACATTTTTTTATATTCACAAATTTAATTATTGAAATTACTTATGCACTAAAAAATAGTTTTGCACATAATTTTGATATTTTTTGATATTAATTGAGAATAGATATATATATCTTTTGCACTAATGTTTCTACACTAAATTAGGAATAGTTTGTGGTTTTAGCGCATTCCTTTATTTAAATTATAGTTCATTGAAGCTTCCAGTCAGAATATCTGCAGGAGACCTGCATGGCACCAGTGATCCATTGATCGCTGGTGCAATGCTTTCCAGGCTTCTGCAGACAAATATTAAATGCACATTTTTTACCTGCAAAAACAATGTGCATTTATTATTTGTAGAAACAACAGAAAAGTGAAGACAGAAAAAAGACTGAGTGGTCCATAGAGTCTGCCCTTTTTTTGTTAACTCTTTTGTCAGAGTATATATCTGTGCTTGTCCCACGCATCTTTGAAATTATTTACTGTTGACTGGCTCACTATCTCTGTTGGAAGTTTACTTCGAGCATCAACTACTCTTTCAGTAAAATAGTACTTACTGAGATTAGCTTTGAACTTTCCTCCAGTTAGTTTAAGGTCATGTCCCCGTGTTCTTGATTTTGGTTTCATGTTGAAAATCCCACCCTCCTGAACTTTATTCAGCCCCTTGATGTATTTAAAGGTTTCAGTCATCTCTCCCCTTTCCCTTCTTTCCTCCAGACTGGACATGTGAAGTTCCTGAAGTCGCTCTCGCTATGTTTTTTGCCCCAGACCTTCCACCATTTTTGTTACCCGTCTCTGGACTTGTTCTATCTTATCAATATCAAGATCTACAGAACTGGACACAGTATTCTAAATGAGGTCCAACTAAAGATCTATATAAAGGAATCAGGACCTCCTTCCTCCTGCCGGTGACCCCTCTAGTGATATAAAGATCTATATAGAGGGATCAGGACCTCCTTCCTCCTGCTGGTGATCTCTCTAGTGATATAAAGATCTATATAGAGGAATCGGGACCTACTTCCTCCTGCCGGTGACCCCTCTAGTGATAGGATCTATATAGAGGAATCAGGACCTCCTTCCTCCTGCTGGTGACCCCTCCAATGTTATAAGGATCTATATAGGGGAATCAGGATCTCCTTCCTCCTGCTGGTGACCCCCCTAGTGATATAAAGATCTATACAGAGGAATCAGGACCTCCTTCCTCCTGCTGGTGACCCCTCTAGTGATATAAAGATCTATATAAAGGAATTAGGACCTCCTTCCTCCTGCTGGTGACCCCTCTAGTGATATAAAGATCTATATAGAGGGATAGGGACCTCCTTTCTCCTGCTGGTGACCCCTCTATTAATATAAATATCTATATAGAGGAATCAGGACCTCCTTCCTCGTGCTGGTGACCCCTCTAGTGATATAAAGATCTATATAGAGGGATTAGGACCTACTTCTCCTGCTGGTGACCCCTCTAGTGATATAAAGATCTATATAGAGGGATAGGGACCTCCTTCCTCCTGCTGGTGATGCCTCTAGTGATATAAAGATCTATATAGAGGGATTAGGACCTACTTCTCCTGCTGGTGACCCCTCTAGTGATATAAAGATCTATATAGAGGAATCGGGACCTCCTTCCTCCTGCTGGTGATGCCTCTAGTGATATAAAGATCTATATAGAGGAATCAGGACCTCCTTCCTCCTGCTGGTGACCCCTCCAGTGATATAAAGATCTATACAGAGTAATCAGGACCTCCTTCCTCCTGCTGGTGATGCCTCTAGTGATGCATCCTAGGATTCTATTCGCTTTTCCCCACTGCCTAGCCACACTGTTTGCTCATTTTGCAATCATCTGAAATAAATACCCCCTTTTCCTTATGTCAAAAAGGTGAACTTATCCTTTTAAACTTTGTTATGGGGGAATCACACCCTTTGTCACACATTTTCATTGCATGTCCATCACTTACCTCTAATATCCGTTTATTGTATTTCTCTGTCAAGAACAAAAGAAACAAAATAATAATATGAGTCATTGTGGAAAGGTAATGAGAGGGAAGACATTTTCAGAAGCAGAGGCCCGCTTCGGAGCTACGGTAGTCTCTATGCTGCTCTGATAGGGGGCTTTATTTGAATTATGAGAATAATCCCCCTCCATTGGTACATACTCCCTACTCCCTGAGCAAACTGTTGCCACTATATAAATCCTGTATAATAATAATAAGACCTAATTTATATTATAACAGTTTTTTGGACTCATCTGCGCTCATTGTAATACTTATAACAAAGCAATGTATTTCTATATTAGAGTAAAAAATAAAAATAGTGGAATGTCTCTGTTACCTGAAGCCTCCTTTAGGATGTGGTGGATGTGTCGGAGTTTATTGGCCATTCTTCTCTCCACTGATAGAGGGTTTATTTTATGTTCAGTCAGAGATTTAATTTCTGCTTTGCTGAGTGTCAAGTGTTCACAGTCCTGGTATCTCCCCGTCATCCACCAGGCTGTAATCTGTCTCTCCAAATGTATATTCTCCACACCAGTTATCACTACTTTTAGGTTTTCTGAACCTACAGAGGAGAAAAGACTATAGATTAGACCAATGGTGTGAACCTCCTGCGCTCAGGATAACTCCCAACACAAATATAGATAATCCCGAGAAGCTGCTTACATTAAGTCATATACCAATGATCTTCAGAATTAAAATTATGGAAACAATGTAGCGCTACTCGCTTGTATTCAAATAAACATGTGGACAAATAAAACACCTAGTAGATAAATATCAAATAAATGAACAAAATTGGTGTCCACTAAAGTGAAATCATGCACATCACTTAATAATACACACGTGTGAATGAGTCTAAATTCCTATAGTGAAAAATCAATCCTTCCAACTGAAAAACAATACGTGCTTTTACAAGTGAATATATACATATACATATACATCAAGAGTGTGCATTAACATATATTTGTACCTAAACATACCCCATATAGTGAATAAGTCAAAAATTGTGCATATATGTGAACTCAATAAGTGCAACTGCACACAAACAACATATATTTCCGTGCGTATAAAGTCCAAATAAGAATGATCACACTCAGGTGAACAAAAACACCCGTGCTGGTATTTGTGTGCAAAAGTGGGTTGATAGTTGAGCAGAAGATCATCCGAACACCGGCTGAATCAGCCTCTCACCTTAAAGATTCGACCCTTGCGAGTCAAAACGCGTTGGAAGTCACATGGTATTGTGATGCAACGCGTCGGCCCAACGTAGTGACGCACTTCCGGCGTGGTGGCCATCTTGGTACACCTTTGTACACCCTTGTACAGCCATGCATATTACATCCAAAGGCGTGTGGTTGGAGCCCTGAATTTTACTGTTTTGATGTAAGTGCGCATTTTATTTGTTATTATACTTGCCAATAAACATACTACACAATAGAAGCTTGTGTTTTATGTTCCATATGAGTTGTTAGCGCAACATTTGATCTTGCTTGGAGAAGGAGCCATTATTGAAGTGCTGATCCCTGGAGGGAGATTTATATTAAGTGGGAGCAGTCATTTGGAGTGATACTTACCTGGAGGATCTGTGAGAGGGATCCTTTTAAACTTTTTGACTCGCAAGGGTCGAATCTTTAAGGTGAATTTTGTTTTGTATCAATAAAACAGATTATAAAAAAAAACCCACACAACCATATAATTTACTGCTTTTTATAAAGTGATAAAATTCTATTGAGCAGAATTAAGCTCAGCCTATTGGTTCCACCATTCACAACAGTCCAAGTTTCTGATGTGGCCCCTTGACAAAATTCCCTACCTCTAGATTAGACAATATGTCTAAATAAATAAAATAAACATATGGTAATGCAATTCATTGTTGTCAACAGACGGTAAAGCAGAATACAAGCTTTCAATGTTAAATATATTTTGGTGCCATATATCCTGAATATAGTAGATTGTACACTCAGACTGTAATGTGTATGTCTGGCTGTACATGCCATTCACAAATATTTTGCAGCACTTTTATTCCTTTCAGTCTGCAATCTTATGTATTCATATTCCCCAGCACAATGCCCCATACCATGGATATATTATTAAATGTCTTCTTCTTTGAGAGCCGACAACTGATACTTTGCACAGCTGCTGGCTCTCAGCTCCAGCAGTCAGGGTCCACTGATGACCGGTAGCCAATTAAAGTGGCTCCTGATCATGTGACCATTTATGTCAGCTATGACTTGGTTATCACATGCAGCCTAGGAGCTCCACTGATAAAATGAAAGCGGATAGCCAGCAGATGAACACTGCCATTTTATTTACAACACAAATAGTATGTTATATGCATCTGAGATAAAAGGCTCATAGAGGACTTAAAGGGGTCACAGTATGCAAAATGACCTTCTTTACTGAGTGTTCAACTGAGTGAGCAGTTAGTAAAGTAGTTAGTAAAGTAGTTAATTTTGCATGCTGTGGCTTCTTTTTAAGTCTGGAGTACGTCTCTCTTCTTGGATGCATTTTATAGAATATCTCCCAATCTGTCTCTCTTTCACACATTAGTCATAGGTATAGGTATGGTTAAGTTAAAACAAAATTATGCAATTACATTAGGTCTGGACATCTAAGCAACAACTTCTAGCAGGGTAGAATTTGGGGAGGAAGGGGGGGTGGGAGAAGAGAACAGTCTTCTCATATGGGGCCCAAGCCCCAGCAGATTAGTGGAGGGGAAGCCCAAGCCAAGCAGTGTCTGCCTTTGGCCTTTTCCTCGTGCCCCCAAATCTCCATCATGCCTCAGCAGGCACATCTCACCAGTTGAGGGGGGCTCCTCTCTTCCTCACACAAATGACCACTGCACTGTGGCTAATGCAGCTGCTGAAACTGGGGCGACACTTAAGAAGGAGAAAAGATAGCAGCTGGGCTTCCATCTCCAGCCATGATGCAAGAGGCTGACATGTTCACTGTCCTGACCTGCCACTGCATAATGCCATGCCACTGCATAGCACCCTAATCTGCTACTACACACTGCCCACTGCTCTGCCTTGTACTACACACTGCCCTGCCACTACATATTGCTGTCCTGTCACTACATATTGCTGCCCTGTCACTACATACTGCTCAAAAAGAGCAAGCTGAAAAGAGCCACTTTCTTGTGGATTCAAAAATATTTTGAAAGCATGGAAGGAGAAGGCACTATCTCTTTCTCTTCTCTTCCCGATATATACCTGGAGCAATAGGGAGAAAACATATAGAGCCTATTGAAGGGAGGACCCATATCCTGGATTTACCCATAACAGCATTACCAGGAGTAAGGAGGTGAACCACCCAGTCTGCTTTCTACAAAGGAACACATCAGAGTAAACCCACGCTTTTTGGCCCAGTAGTCCCTTAGCACAGACTATCTGGATTGTATGAGCAGTCTGTTACAGCATATTGAGCAAGCCGCAAGTATGATGGGATTCACATTTGATTGAATTCACTCATGAATTGGACATTTATATGTATTATTTTCTAATCATTATCTTGATATTAATGTTGGTTTATATTGTTTGCATTTTTTTCAATATTCTTTTCACTACCAAGCAATTTAATGAATTGCTATAAGCAGTTCATCATTCACATCTTTTATATATAGATACACATTCATTTAAGGGGCGCGGCACCAAGGTGCAGGAACTCCCCCTTCTTAGTCACTTCTTGTCTACAACCCCCCCACACCCACCTCCAAGTACCACCCCTTTTAGAAAATACATATCCAAGTATCATGCTGTGGTGCTAAGTATTTTGTATACATTCAATGCTGGAGGTGCAGAGACTGCGTTCCCCCATGTAACCGCTGAAAAAAATCCCTGGTAACAGGGATTATGGGATGCCCAACTTGACAATCAATGCATACGGACAACTTCCTTCCTATATACAGAAAAAAGATCCTGGTCTGTTTGATTTGAATTAGGTCAGTCTTTACGGATCAGTAGCAAAAGCCCCTTACAGGCTAGGGCCATTCAGCCCCACTGAAAGTTAGCACAGGGTGCTGCAAACTACATTGGGAAGTATCTCCTCTTCCCTGTAGAGCTGCTCCCAGCTCCACAGCCTACAGACACTACCAGCCCTCTTGACTGCTCTGAAGGTCTCTCAGGACAAGGATAAAGGATTAAGAACAGCGCTGTACTTTGACAGCTTGCTGCATGTGGTAGTCGCTCCCCTTGTGAATCCCTGAGTGTGCTGATGTACTCACTCTGTCCTCCTTGCTCCCAGGCAATGATCCTGTTCATACCGTGATGCTGAATGGATCCTCCTGAGCCAACCCAAGCCCAGGGTGGAGGCCAAGCCCCTCCTAGACCTAGGGACCTCCGCCCAGGTCACTAACAGCCTCCTCAGCACTCCATCTTCCACCCGGCTCCACTGCTAGCTGACTGTCCCATATTTAAGAATTAGCATTACCACACTATCAGGGCCTTCAAGCCTGGGATTGGTCAGACTCCCATAAACATGCAGATTTAGGTTTCCGCCCCTTCTGCCCACTGACTTCTGGAAGCTGCCATGGTCCTCCAGAACCAGTTGGAGGCTATAGAGGCCCATCCTGCTGAATCACCCAACCTGACCTGCAGTAACAAGACTCAATAACAGACTCACACAGATCTCTTAGATAGTAAGCTCCAAAGAGCAGGGCCCTCCTAACCCTCTTATATTGAACTGTATTGTTGCTGTATTGTCTCCTGTTATATTGTAAAGCGCTGAGCAAACTGTTGGCGCCATATAAATCCTGTATAATAATAATAATAAAATACAGAGTCACACCATAATAAATGTACCTATGCTAACACTAGTAGCACACTAGAGGGTGCTACACCTGTGATGTACGATAAAAGAAATGTATATTTAGCTGAGAAACAGAGTGATAAGAAATCTCTATATACAATGTGATCTGATCTGTAGTCTACAAAACAGAGCCATTCAGAGTGGATCCAGAATCTAGCAGATCTCTTTCTCATCGGTGACTCAGTGTGACTCTTACCCAGTTTTGCTCGGCTGTAATCCAGGAAATCCTTCAGATCAGTCAGGTCTAGCAGAGGGTCCCACGAAGAACATAAGAGATGCAAAGTAACGATGGAGGATTCATAAACCAAAGATTTCCAGACATCTTCTGCAAGGTGAGAAATGTAGCAGCACACAGTAACATACTGAAAGGATGACGTCTCTGATAAGGTCTTTACTAGCCATGTTACGTCGGTGTTGTGGTTCTGAGTGAAGACAGTCAGGCACTCTCTACACTCCTTCCCACTCGCTGTATCACTGAAACACAAGAGGAGGAAAAGTAGTAAGAAGTTCATTTTTTATTCATGGATATAAATATAAAAGTGATATAAAGAAATGATGTATATGGATTCTGAAAGACATTCAGGACTGACAGCCGTTTGTACCATTCCTGTCTAATAATAAAAGTGAGGAGCACCGATACTGAATACCATGGGGGCACTCATGGGCCAATGCCTAGGGAGCCACCAGATCTTAGAATTGGCCATTTGTCATATTTTATAATTCTTATTAATTTGTTTCCCTTTTTTGTTCTCCTCTGGAGAATTTGGGTAAATTCAGTAAGATAATCTCTCATGGAGATGTTCAGAGGAGTCAAAAGACTCATTACAGTTCAAGAAGCGTGAAAAACAATATATCAACTTACAATTAAGCAAAGGAGACAGATAACAGGAAGCAGAAACTACACCCCCTATCCATGGTGATCCCAGCTGTCACCCAGAGTTGGTTGTGGGCAGCTCAGTGGATTGCTGTAGGAAAGTCCTGGATTGTTTCTTGGATACACAGAATATAACTGGATATAACATTTATAGGGAAAGTTGATCCAGGGAATATCCGATTGCCTCTCGGGGGATCAGGAAGGAATATTTTTTTCCCTGCAGGAGCAAATTGGATCGTGCTTTGCTGGGTTTTTGCCTTCCTCTGGATCAACTGTGGGTGTAGGATTATAATTTTTTTTTTTTTAATGGTTGAACTGGATGGAGTTTTTTCTTTTTTTCAGCCAGACTATCTATGTGACAGTGATAATGCAGAGGAAGCTGCTATCGGCATTCTTACCGACCTGCGGCAGAGGCTCGGGCTGTCAAACAGCTCCAGCGGCTGCTTCCAAGGTTCTCTCCTACCCACAGAAACGACAATGTGTTTCCAGGGTACCACCCTCCTTCTGAAGCTTGATGTCAGGAATGGACTTGCCAATAATGGTGGGACTCACCTGCCTTGTGGGCTGCAGTACCAGGGCTGGCCAGCGGGTGCTCTCAGCAATCAGAGACTCAACCCTGCAGTCAGCCAAACACCTGAAGCTGATTACGGGGGTTGTATTTAAGGGATGGCCAGACTCACAGTCAGGGCCTTGGTGTGTGTTTTTCCATGGGCCCCTGTATCTTGTATCCTGTATTCCTGTTCCTGTTTCTGTCTGACTTGTTGCCGACCCTGCCTGATCCTGACCTCTGCTGACTTCTCCTGTTTGATCCCTGGCTTGTGACCCTGACCATTCTCTGCCTGACCCTCTGCACCGCGCCGCCCGTGAGTTACTGAACCCAGCTTGTGACCCCGACCACTCTCCCCGCCTGTTCCTGGTACTCCGTTTACCCGTTTGCTACTGACCCGGCCTGCCTGACGACCCTTGCATTGTATGTATTGTTATCTGTGGGTGGTTTGGTTTGGTTTGTTTGCACTGTGTTTAGGTTTAGTATTGCACTGCGTTTTGTATTGTTAGTCTTAATAAATTATATTGTTTTATAACATATCTGAAGCCTGCGTTTCCCTGTGTCAGTCCACACACCTCTGGTCATACCCTGATTACTGACACTTGACATATATCATCACTACTGGGCTTATAAAAGGAGTGTTATGTAGCCAGTGCCAGGACAAGGTCACCCAGCGCCAAGGGCAAAGATGTCAAACAGCACTCCCTCCCCCACCCTCCGATTCATAATATGCAAGCTTTGGGGATCCTATGCCCACCAGTCACTCACTTGTCAAAATCATTGCTCCTGTCAGCCTGGTAACAGAAGGAAGGCGCCCTCATCCCTACATTGTGCCCAGGGTAGTCGCCCCTCCTTCCCATCCCTTGTCCTGGCCACAGAAAGTGGGGGAGGATCTGGATGGATGAACCCGCCATACATATTGCTATGAAAACTATAACCAAAAGCAAATAATTGTCAATAATCAAATACAATGTAACTTGTTAGAAACAGACATAAAACAAAGCCAACTGAGCACAATACAATAAGCACCTGGGGCAATACTATACATTTAGAAAGTTTATTTTCCATAATGGGGTGATGGTGACTTTTGTGGAGAAAGAACAACAGACAGTATTTTAAACCGTTTCAATACCGTGTGATTTTACACCTTCCTGCCCAGGCCATTTTTCAGGTTTCAGCGCTCTCACACTTTGAATGACAATTGCGCGGTCATACAACACTGTACCCAAACTAAAATTTTATCATTTTCTTCACACAACTAGAGCTTTCTTTTGGTGGTATTTAATCACCGCTGGGGTTTTTATTTTTTGCTAAATTAACAAAAAAAGACCAAAAATTTTGAAAAAAAAACACATTTTTCTTTGTTTCTGTTATAAAAGTTTACAAATAAATAATTGTTCTTCATAAATTTAGGCTGAGATGTATTCTGCTACATGTCTTTGGTGAAAATAACCCAAATTAGGATGTATTATTTAGTTTGTAGGAAAGTTATAGAGTTCACAAACTATGGTATAGATCTGAATATTGATCAATCCTGAAGTACTGACGGCCAATCTAATTTCTTGAGGTCCAAGAATGTCAGAACAGTACAGATATCCCCCAAATGTCAGGACAGTACAGATATCCCCCAAATGTCAGAACAGTACAGATATCCCCAAATGTCAGGACAGTACAGATATCCCCCAAATGTCAGAACAGTACAGATATCCCCCAAATGTCAGAACAGTACAGATATCCCCCAAATGTCAGGACAGTACAGATATCCCCCAAATGTCAGAACAGTACAGATATCCCCCAAATGTCAGGACAGTACAGATATCCCACAAATGACCCCTTTTTGCAGAGTAGACAGTCCGACGTACTTCATAAGAGGAATGGCGAGTTTTTTGAAGTTGTATTTTTCTGTCATAATTTTTCCGAAAATGAAAAAATGAAAAAAATTATTTTCACTATTTTTTTTTTTTACATACTGTCACCAGTGCAGTACAGCGTCATCATATAACTGGCATGGCGGTGAACAGGGACACTGACTGGTGACAGTATGAAAAAAAAAAATATTATATATTTTTTTATTTTTTTTTATTTTTTTATTATATTTAATTTTTTATTACATTTTTTTTTTTTTTTTTAAGATTTTTTTTCATACTTTACTATGACCAAAATAGTACAATGTTACCATAGTAACATTGTACTACTTTGGGGAAGTGATCAGTATTTTTTTTTTTTTTTTTTTACACAATTTGCTTATAGCAAAGAATTACTTTGCTATAAGCAAGCATTTACCTAAATGAAATCGATTCATTCAGCTTTTTTTTTTTTTTTTTTTTTTTTTTTTTGTGCTTAGCTGTGATTTGGTCACAGCTAATCACATGACATGTGCATGTGATTAGCTGTGACCATTCATAGCTAGGCACTAGTATACAATGGATGGCATCATGAATGAAGCCATCCATGTATACAACTGTCATGTGACCTGCTGTGATTGGTCACAGCAGGTCACATGGTACCAGCAACGGGAGCCGGTACTCGGATCTGTCATCGGCCGTGTCCGAGGTGCACGGCCGCCGACAGATCGCACTGCTGCGCCGCTCTGCATTAGCGCAAACGGCGCATGTGCGGGAGCACGCCAAATGGCGTGCACCCGGAATGAAGAGGCACATCTGAAGCCGCCAAACGGCCATTGGCTGGGCGGCTAATGGTTAAATGGTCTGGAGTGGCCCTAGGAAAGCTAGAATACATTTTTTGGAATACTGCAATAATGATACCTTGGGTCTGGCCTTTACGTATGTAGTGGATGAGCAAACGTTAATATTTTTGAATCTGAAACTTACCCCTGATGAACAGAATTATTACTACAACCCATTTCAAGCCCACTGGTGGTAGTTCACATCTCCACAACATGGAGTCAGCCAAAGCAACATCTTAATAAATTGATTTAGAGAGATACAATACTTAGTAAGCTGATTATTGAAGCTTTTGAAAGTATTTTAAGGGCATCCCACTGGATAGAAGAGTTAGAGAAATATGGAGAGAGAGAATCCAAGCAAGTTCGGTTCATTACGCAGTTCAACCGTAATCACAGAGCTATCAAAAAGAGGAATTGCTTCATTTTGCAACAGGACCCTAAACTTGGACCTGTACTAATGGAAATAGTTCAATATCATTTTAAAGAAAGCCTGAAATATTAAGAATACAAAATTGCTACAAGTTAATAAGTGGGACATACCTCATGCAACAAGAACAATTTGTTTGACAAAAGAAAAAACATTTAAAAAAGGCACAAAAAATTAAGTACTTAAAGTGTTACTAAACCCTGGACCCCTCATTCACTATATCCACTCTCCCCGGACCCTGCATTCACTATATCCACTCTCCCCGGACCCTGCATTCACTATATCCACTCTCCCCGGACCCTGCATTCACTATATCCGCTCTCCCCGGACCCTGCATTCAGTATATCCGCTCTCCCCAGACCCCGCATTCACTATATCCGCTCTCCCCGGACCCCGCATTCATTATATCCACTCTCCCCGGACCCCGCATTCACTATATCCGCTCTTCCCAGACCCTGCATTCACTATATCCGCTCTCCCCGGACCCTGCATTCACTATATCCGCTCTCCCCGGACCCCGCATTCACTATATCTGCTCTCCCCGGACCCCGCATTCACTATATCCGCTCTCCCCGGACCCTGCATTCACTATATCCGCTCTCCCCGGACCCCGCATTCACTATATCCGCTCTCCCCAGACCCCGCATTCACTATATCCGCTCTCCCCGGACCCTGCATTCACTATATCCGCTCTCCCCAGACCCCGCATTCACTATAATCCGCTCTCCCCGGACCCTGCATTCACTTTATCCGCTCTCCCGGATCCTGCATTCACTATATCCGCTCTCCCCGGACCATGCATTCACTATATCCGCTCTCCCCGGACCCTGCATTCACTATATCCACTCTCTCCGGACCCTGCATTCACTATATCCGCTCTCCCGGGACCCTGCATTCACTATATCCGCTCTCCACGGACCCCGCATTCACTATATCCGCTCT